GAGCAGCAGAGGGGGGGCAAACGGAGGAGGATGGGGCTGTAGGGCCAGGGGACCACACATCACCCATCACCCCCACACCCGCCACCCCCAGTCCCTCCCCGGGCTCCCCCACACCCTCACACCCTCCCCCCCAGCGGCAGCTACAGCAGAGGGAACAAAAGGAGGAGGAGAAGGGGGGGGGGGGGGGGGGGGCGACGCACGGCCTCCCCGGGCGCCAAAGCAGGCGGCAGAGGGGGCGACGCCTGCCCCCCCCTTTCAGGTCCGGCCCCCGAAGGAGCCGCGACAGGTGACGGGAAGAAGGGGGGGGGGGCGGTGCACGTGCCCCCGGTGTGCCGCAGCTGGTGACAAGGCATGGCCGGGACAGGGTCGGGACCGCAAGTGGGCGGGGCCGAAGAGGGCGACGGGGCCGCAAGGGTGGGCGGGGCCGCAGGTGGCGACGGGGCCTCAGGTGGCGGGGCCGCAGGTGACATCGGGGCCTCTGGTGGCGGGGCCGCAACAGAGGGCGGCGGGGCCGCAAATGTGGGCGGCGAGGCTGCTGGTGAGGGCGACGACGGGGCCGCGACTGAGGGCGGCCACGGGCCGCAGGTGAGAGCGGCGACGGGGCCGCAGCTGAGGGCGGCGACTGGTCGGGCCCGCAGGTAGGTGACGAGGCCGGACCGCAAGTGGGCGACGGGGCCGTAGCAAGGGCGGCGGGGCCGCAGTGAAGGGCGGCGAGGCCGCGACGTAGGGCGGCGGGGCCGCAGGAGTAGGGCGGCGAGGCCGCAGAGTAGGGCGGCGGGGCCGCGACAGTAGGGCGGCGGGGCCGCGACAGTAGGGCGGCGGGGCCGCTAAAGCAGGGCGGCGAGGCCGCGACAGGAGGGCGGCGGGGCCGCGACAGTAGGGCGGCGGGGCCGCGACAGCAGAGAGGCGGCAAGGCCGCGACAGTAGGGCGGCGGGGCCGCTTAAGAAGGGCGGCGGGGCCGCGACAGTAGGGCGGCGGGGCCGCGACAGTAGGGCACACCACGGGGCGTGCAGTACACTCAGTAGCAGCGGAAGGAACAGGCCAGGAACGTAACACTCTCTGATAACATGTTGAGAATTTAGGAAGGCTTAGGAGCCATAGCTAGTAGAGTTCGAGTAGGAACGGTTGAGTTCGAGTGAGTTTTGGGTGAGTAGAGAAGATGGCAACAAAAGAGAGGGTGTTCACTATAGAGCGAGCAGTACAAATAGGCAAGAATGAAGAAAGGTGCACCACCATACAGAAAGTTACATGACTACAGTAATCTACACTACAGGTAGTTACAAAGCAATATATAGAATTATATATTATTTTGACACTGACCCGCTACTGAAACAAGCCCTTTTATCCCAATGGTCTAGTGGTTGGGATTCTGACATGGTATCAGAGCGGTCTCGGGTTCGATTCCCGGTGTGCGCACGTGTAGGCCGTTGCCGCTGTGCTTAGTCTTGGGCCTCCAAGTGTGGGGGGGTGTCAGTAGATCTGCACTGTGGATGCCCGATTGATCCTGGAGAGGGTTACAAGCGCGTTCGCCTGGGTGGTTATGGGCGCACTGACCCGCTACTAAAACAAGCCCTTTTATCCCAATGGTCTAGTGGTTGGGATTCTGACACGAAGCTGGACGGATACAAGGAGCGTTCCTGAAACGACACTGGCACGGTTCGAACAGACAGTAAACGAGAGTAACACGGGTTACTTAGCACTGGTTATGGCAGCAGCAGAGGAGAAGGTCTTGGAGCAGTACAAGGATATAATGCTCGACGACCTACCCGCAGGCGTACCTCCAGCACGCACCCACGAGCACGAGATCGTGGAGGAACCAGGTGCGAAACCCGTCTCACGTGCACCATACCGACTGAGTCCAACTGAACTGACAGACATGAAAAAACAGATAGAGTATCTACTAGACAGACAACTGATCCGCCCATCCACCTCTCCCTACGGTGCACCATTTGTCTTCACGCCAAAGCCAGACGGTAGTTTACGGATGTGCATCGACTATCGCGCACTGAACAAACAGACAGCACTGACTACAGCGCTAGAACTCATCCTACCGGATCCAGACAGAGACTACGTGGTGGAAGCAGACGCTAGTGACCAAGAAGTCGGAGCAGTACTGACGCAGCATCACGAACGCAGTTTGCAGCCCATCGCCTACCTCAATAAGAAGCTGTTACGGTGGAAGAAGGACTTAGCTGTAAGGAACGGTTCAGGAAAGATTTGGGTACCGAATTACGCCCCGCTACGGCAGATCCTATTGGAGGAGTTTCACGACGTACCTTACGCGGGACATTTCGGGAGCAACAAGACGTTAGCAGGGATAGCGAAGTATTAATACTGGCCCGGGATGGCAGCAGACGTGCAGCAGTTCGTCACCTCTTGCGACACGTGCCAGCGGATGAAGAGCAGCAAGCAGAAAAAAGCAGGGTTACTTCAGCCTCTACCCGTTCCAGAGCAGCCATGGCAGGTCGTTAGCCTCGACTTTATCACAGGACTTCCTTCGACCTCACGGGGGCATGATTCCATCCTCGTAGTCATCGATAAGTTCTCCAAAATGGGTCACTTCATACTGACCAACGCCACAGCTGAGAAAACGAACGAGAATGAATTGACTAAGGGAAACTTGGGTACAAGAACAAACCCTAGAAAGTCGTACCCCATATGTGCTACCCCACTATAGCCTATAACAGCTATGTCATATAAATCCGACACACCCCCATAGGCAAAGTGGGGGAGAACAAGGGGTCACAAGACCAGTCAAGCAAAGCAAAGCAAGCTCAGGGTGGATCACAAAGTCACCACACATTCCGAGCACAAGTTCAAGGCCACAAGGCCAGTTCACATGCAGGATTACACATATATGAATCAGGCTAGACAAGCAAGAGCAGGTGTATATATATATATGTAGCAGTACAAACAAGGTCAAGTGGTGAGCAAGTGAGGAAAGGCAGGCATAAGACCTAGCTGAGTACAGAAGCGCTGATGATTACAAGGCGCAAGCGCCTTGGTGAAGATATCAGCAGTGTTGGCCTCAGAGGCCACGTATGCAAGGCGCAGCTGACCACGCTGTTGTAGCTCACGAGCAAGGAAGTAGCGAAGAGCAATGTGCTTCGTTCTGTGCTCCACTCTCTGCTCCCGACACAAGGCGAGCATGGCCTTGTTGTCTACGTACAGCATTGGAGGAGAACGAGGCGACTCTCCGAGGTCAGTCAGCAGGTAGGTGAGCCAGCGAAGCTCCTGTGCAGCCATGGCTCCTGCGTAGATCTCAGCCTCACAACTGGAGCCGAGAACAGAAGACGAGCGGGTAGCCCGCCACGAAACAGAGCTGGAACCAAGGCTGAAGGTGTAACCCTGTGACGACCGCTGCGTAGCCTGGTCGTCAGCCCAAGAAGCGTCTGCGTGCCCAGTGAGGACCACTGGACTCTGCCCTCCAAGCACAAGCCCCATGCCCGACGTACTACACAAGTAGCGCAACACCCTCTTCGCTGCAGCCATGTGCTCTGGTCGGTGTCTCCCAGGAGCAACATAGCGTGCCAAGATGCTAAGAGGGTATGCAAGGTCAGGTCGTGTGCAGGTCATCAGGTACATGAGGCAGCCAACAAGCTCTGGGTAGGGGCCACTCGGCTCTACGGACTCATCCAAAGGCAGAGCTGAGAGCGAGAGGCGAGTAGGCAGAGGAGTGGCCTGAGGCGAGGAGTACGTGAAGCCGAAGCGCTGAAGGACCTGCTGCACCATGTGTGACTGAGTCAGGGTAATGGTGCGGTGTGCTTTGTCCAGGGTGATCTGCAAGCCAAGGTAGCTGCGCAGTTCACCCACGTCTGTGCACGTGTGTCTCTTCTACAGCTCGGACTTCACGTGGGCGAGTCCAGCAGTGTCAGCTGTGGCAAAGACCAAGTCGTCGACGTACACGAGGATGTAGAACGGCGGCAAAGAAGTGTCGGTGCGCAGAAACAGCGACGGGTCGGCAGTAGAGGGAGCAAACCCAAGAGCCGCAAGCGTAGTCCTCAGTTTGTCGTGCCACTCACGGTGTGCCTGGCGGAGACTGTAGACTGGCCGTCGGAGGCTCCACTGGGTGCCAGGAGGAAAAGACCCAGTGAAGCCAAGTGGGCGACGCAGCCAGATCTCCTCGTGGAGGCTGCCCTGCAAGAAAGCAGTGCTGAAGTCAAGAGAGTGCAGCTCGTAGTCACGGTGAGCAGCTATGTGCAGCAGTACCCGAAGAGTGGTCATCTTCGAGGTGGGAGAGAAAGTCTGAAAGTAGTAAACTACCTGCCGCTGACTGAAGCCACAAGCCACGTAACGCGCCTTGAAGACAGGCGGAGAACCCGGCGGCCGCTTCACCCTGAAAATCCACATGCTACTGACGATGTTTGCCCCAGACGGGGGAACCTCGTCAACGTAGGAGCCTGTGGACTTCCAGGAAGCCATCTCTGCATCCATAGCTGCCTGCCACTGAGAGGAGTAGGGACCCTCTATCGCCTCCGCGTAAGAGCGCGGAGTCGGGATGTCTAGTGCATCCGGGTCTCCCTCAGGGGCTAGCAGTACAGACGCGAGATGAGGTGAAGCGGCAGCCAAGCACTGAAACTCCTCCTGCCTGTCCTCAAGGACGTCCGTGCCAAGGGCACACGCACCCCCGACGGACGGAGGACAGACAGACTCAGACTCAGCGACAAGACTAGCAGCGTAGTCTAGACGACAGCGAGCAGCAAAGTCGACGAGCTCAGCAACTAGGGCAGACGCAGCAGTGGACTCAAAGGAAAGGTCAGTGACGACAGTAGCAAGGAGACGCGTGACAGTAGGACTGGCAGCACGAAGAGAGTCCGACTCCGGGTCGGCAAGAGCAGGAAGAAAGGACTCAGGAGGAGAAGGCAAAGGGGCACGCAGAGGAGCAGTGGACGGACGCTGAGACATCCAGTGCGTGCCAGGGACAGGAGGAGGACGCTGACGCGAACCACGACCACTAGTGCGAGCAGGACGGACAGGCGACGCAGGGCGAGACGCAGGCTCACGACGCTCAGCAAGACCTCCAGTAGGACCAGTGTAGGGAGAAGGAACAGGCAGTGGGGAGGCCGGCTGTAACTGTAACTGTGACGGGACAGGCTGTGGACACTCTAAGGGAGGAGGAGGACCAGTAGAAAAGTGAGCAAGGACAGGACCCCCAGAGGGGTCTGCCAGAGAGACTATAACTGGCCGACCAAGCGTTGTGAGTGTGGTGCGGTCTCGAAAGAATGAGCGAAAAGCCCCCGAGTCAAAAGTGAAGGTGTGGGAGGCCGAAGCCGACGCGGTACCTGAGAGAGCAGACTCACTAGCACCTGAGGAATCAGACGCACTGGCACCTAGAGCAACAGCCTCGCTAGCACCTAGAGCAGCAGCCTCACCAGTACCTAGTGCAGCAGTCTCAATGCCCGGGTCGAGCGGAAAGCACCGGTAATAGTCACCCTCATCACTAATAGTCACAGCATACATGGCAGCAAGAATTGCATCAAAGTCAAGGTCAAAGATAGCTACTCCCGCCCTAGACAGCTCGCCCCAGCGAGGGATCTCAGTGGCCTCAGGGAACTGGTGACGCCAAGCGTCCGTAAGGCGGCCAAAGCAGCGCTGGGTGGAGTGCGCACCCCCGCACTGCTCACCCGCGCGTTCGTCGGTGCGTAGAACGTAGGTGCAAGGACTAGTACCCCCACCCCGCTGGCGTGCAGTGTACCACTCACGGAGCTGCTGAGGGGGGGGGGATGTCACGAGTGCGCTGCTGCTGCTGGCGCTGACCACCACCGGAGCCGACCCTCTGCGCAGCGCCACCCCGACCAGCTCCGCCTCCTCCGCCGCCGCCTCCTCCTCCGCCTCCACCTCCGCCACCTCCGCCCCCACCGCCACCGCCGCCTCCGCCTCCGCCTCCACTGCCACCACCGACACCTCCACCCCTGCCACCACTCCCACCACCACCCCCACCCCCTCCACTGCCGCCACCGCCACCTCCGCCACCCCCTCCAGCCCCTCCAGCGTCCTTGCCCCCCTTGCCCTTGCCGGTGCGGATTCTCCCGCTCGGGGCTGACGCAGCGCCGACCAACTCGAAACCAACGAGGTCGGCCGCAGCAGCAGAGGCAACAGAGGGCAAAAGGGGGGAGGGGGAACACCCCTCAAAGACGGGGGTGCGAGGGTCACCACGACAGGCTCTTACAACGACTATGCTCTTCTCTTCCGCTAGGAGGGCCTTAGGAACAGTTCCCACAGGGGAACCTGCTCGATACCATGAGAAAACGAACGAGAATGAATTGACTAAGGGAAAGTTGGGTACAAGTACAAACCCTAGAAAGTCGTACCCCATATGTGCTACCCCACTATACTCTACAACAGCTATGTCATATAAATCTGACAAGTACGACGGCTTATGCCAGCTATGCTTACTTGCCTTACTTTATTATGCTAATTCTAGCATAGGATAATTATATGCATGCATGAATTGCTTGATTTCCTAGGCTAGGTGCTTTCCTATATTTTATTATAGTTATTGCACCGAGCTAGGTTGCGTGCACCGAATTCTGGCTTTTCGGTTGCCACCGAATTGCCTTCTACCGAATTCGGTAAGGATCTGTTCGGGACGCTTCGCGACCCGCGGAACCTTCGCGTAACACCTGGTTACGGGGCCTTGTGTCGAGCCTATATATAGCCTCGTGTTGTACCCAGGTGATCATTCAATTCATTTAACTCACATTCTCTTTTCTGAGCTCGATCCTAGATCCTCACACCGCCAAACAAAACTCTGCACCGACCGGGAAACTCCAGCCGAACACCCCCGAGAGTAAGAATATTCCCTCTCGAGGTTTTCAAGCCTTTAAAAAATCCAGGGGAGATTTCGAGGCCAAGAAAAAGCCTTCAGACATTATTCAGGTACCTGAGAAGTTGGGCAAACCACTCTGGAGAGTTGAAAAGGGTCGTGCGTTCTAAGGAGTTCATATTCTCTCCCCGCAGCATAGTGTGAAATAATGAGGAATGAAGAAGAGTGGAGGTTCACTAGCAAGCAGTTGAGTACATATAGCAAACCCTAAATTGGGTTGTAATCACTATTGAGTACCCCACTGCAGGCTAGACAAACATAACATTCTGACACACCCCCATAGCCAAAGTGGGGTGTAATCAGCACAACAAGCTCAGGGTGGATCACAATGTCACCACACAATCTGAGCACAAGTACAAGAAGCAACAGTTTAAAGTTCACAAATGTAAGCAAAGCTAGAGGCTATCACCGAGGGCAACTGTGGAGGAGGAGGGACTATGAGAGGAGAGGAGGTAGTGGGCGGCAGCTGAAGCTGCTGGCACACGGCGCAACTGGAGCAACTGGCACACGGGCAACTGGAGCAACTGGCACACTGGCAACTGGAGCAACTGGCACACAGGCTACTGGAGTAACTGGCTCCGCGGCTAACTCTGAGCGGCAGGAGCAACGGACTCACGGGCGACTGGAGCAACTGGCTCACGGGCGACTAGCGCAACGGGCTCACGGGCGACTGGCGCAACGGTCTCACGGGCGAATGGAGCTGCGGGCTTCTCGGCGGCCACCCCCCTTCAACCTCCCCAAACTATCCCACCCCCCTTTCACACACCCCCTGCTGCACCCTAGGTTCACTCACACCCCACCCCCTAGCACCACTCCGTCGACTCCCACACACCCACCCCCCTCAGCGGCAGCTGCAGCAGTGGGAGACAGAGGAGGAGGAGGAGCAGGGGAGACCACACACCCGCCACCCCCTACTCGCCACCCCCAAACCCTAACACATGGCAGGGCGGGATGGCGGGTAGGGAGGTTACGGGGGGGGGGGGGGGTGGGGGGGAAGAGGGGGGCCGACGCGCGGCCTCCCAGGGCGCCAAAGTAGGCGGCAGAGGGGGCGACGCTCGCCCCCCCCCCCCCCCCCGGCCCCCTCAGGTCGCCTTGACAGGCGACAGGAAAAGTGGGGGGGGGGGGGGGGGGGCGGTGCACGGGTCCCCGGTGCGCCGCGCCAGGCGACGGAGCATGGCTGGGGCGGGGCTGGGGCAAGGCCGGGGCAGGGCCGCGAGAGGGTCGGGGCAGGGCCGGGGCAGGGCCACTACAGGGCGGCGATAGGGTCAATAGGGGCGGCGACGGGGCCGGTAGAGGCGGCGACGGGGCCGCTAGAGGCGGCGACGGGGCCGCGAAGAGCGGCGACGGGGCCGCTAGGGGCGGTGACGGGGCCGCGAAGTGCGGCGACGTGGCCGCGAAGGGCGGCGACGGGGCCGCTAGGGGCGGCGTCGGGACCGCTAGGGGCGGCGACGGGACCGCTAGGGGCGGCGACGGGGCCGCGAAGGGGCCGCGAGGGGCGTGGAAGGGCGGCGACGGGCCGCGATGGGGCCGCGAGGGGTCGAGAAGGGCGGTGACGGGGCCGTTAGGGGCGGCGGCGGGGCCGTTAGGGGTGGCGACGGGGCCGCGAAGGGGCCGCGAGGGGCCTAGAAGGGCGGCAACGGGGCCGCGAAGGGGCCGCACGAGGGGCCTGAAAGGGCGGCAACGGGGCCGCGAAGGGGCCGAGAGGGGCCGAGAAGGAAATTGCGGTCGCACGCCACGGGGCGTGCAGCAGACAGAGTAGCAGCGGAAGCAGTTAGGTGGGCCCATAGGCCAGGAGCGTAGATGCTCTGATAGCATGTGAAATAATGAGGAATGAAGAAGAGTGGAGGTTCACTAGCAAGCAGTTGAGTAGATATAGCAAACCCTAAATTGGGCTGTACTCACTATTGAGTACCCCACTGCAGGCTAGACAAACATAACATTCTGACAAGGCTCCCCATTGCCCACAGGAGAAGCCTACACAGCTGCAAAGGCTTAAGGGAAGGTTCCAGGCCAAGACGAAGCTGAATCAGCCTCGGACAAATCCTTCTAACCCAACACAGTTAAAAATTGATATGGAGTCAGCAGCTTCGAGCGCAGGACCGAGGGATGATCTATTCGACGTACCCTACGATCCTATAAGCAATACCATCTACGGTTACTCGGAGCAGCAGCAACCACTACTACTCGAGGTGATCCGCAACGGGCGACGCCTCCAGGCACTGGTGGACAGCGGTGCATCTCACTCGGTGTGCGACCGCGGGACATTGGAGAAAATTGGAGAATCTTCGGAGGAGACCAAGTTCACGGCAACGATGGTGGACGGTACGAAACTTCCCATCCACGGCGAAGCATCATTGCAGCTGCACATAGGGGCGCTGAGGTGGAAGCCGACGTTGCCGATCACGAACATCAAGGGCTTAGATTTCATCTATGGGCGAGATTTCTTGAAGCGATTCAACCCCGAGATCGACTGGGTCAACAGGAAGGCGTGCATCTACAACAACGGGAAACGAGTGGAGCTGCGAAGCTGGACGGATACAGAGAGCGTTGCTGAAACGACACTGGCACGGTTTGAACGGACTGTGAACGAGAGTAACACGGGATACTTAGCACTGGTTATGGCAGCAGCACAGGAGGAGAAGCCGAGTTCGGAGCTACCTGCAGCAGTAAAGGAGGTGTTGGAGCAGTACAAAGATATAATGCCCGATGACCTACCCGCAGGAGTACCTCCAGCACGCACCCACGAGCACGAGATCGTGGAGGAACCAGGTGCGAAACCCGTCTCACGTGCACCATACCGACTGAGTCCGACCGAACTGACAGACATGAAGAAACATATAGAATATCTACTGGGCCGACAACTGATTCGCCCATCCACCTCTCCCTATGGTGCACCATTCTTCTTCACTCCAAAACCAGACGGTAGTCTACGGATGTGCATCGACTACCGTGCATTGAACAAACAGACAGTTAAAAACAAATACCCCATACCGCGCATAGACGACCTACTCGACCAATGCAACAATCTTTTCGAAGTTGGACCTACAGTCGGGTTACTGGCAGATCAAGATGGCGGACAGCTCGATCCACAAGATGGGGTTCTGTACCAGATACGGCTCCTACGAATACTTGGTGATGCCGTTCGGACTTTGCAACGCACCAGCAACGTTTCAGGCGGAGATGAATCACATCTTACGACCCCTGCTGGACGAGTGCGTGGTGGTGTACCTGGACGACATTCTCATCTACTCCAAGAACATGAAGGAGGACGTGGAGCATTTGCGGAAGGTGTTCGAGATCCTGCGGAAAAACAAGTTCTACGTAAAGCTGTCGAAGAGCGACTTCGCCCTGAAGAAGGTGCAGTTTCTCAGGCACATGGTTAGTGCCGACGGCGTACACGTGGTCCCGCGGAAGATCGAAGCCGTCAAGAAGTGGAAAGTACCGGAGAACGTGAAGGAGTTGTAGCAGTTCCTAGGCTTCGCCAACTACTAGAACAGGTTCGTGCCGCAGTACGCAAAGATAACAGCGCCACTGACCGACCTACTGAAAAAGGATACGCCCTTCAAATGGGATACTCCTCATCAGCAAGCCATGGAACAGCTACAGACAGCACTGACTACAGCGCCGGTACTCATCTTACCGGATCCAGACAGGGACTACGTGGTGGAAGCAGACGCTAGTGACCAAGCAGTCGGAGCAGTACTGATGCAGGATCATGGACGCGGTTTGCAGCCCATCGCCTACCTCAGTAAGAAGCTACACGGAGCAGAATTGAACTACCCCATCCATGACAAGGAAGCCTTAGCGATAGTCATAGCCTTCAAGGCGTGGAGGTGTTACCTAGAGGGAGCCAAGACTACAGTATACATTGACCACTGCAGTCTCAAATACCTGAAGTCGCAGCCAACGCTCTCACGGCGACAGGTGCGGTGGGTGGACTTCCTGGAACCTCACTTCCACTACGACATCGTCTACAAGCCCGGGCTACACAACGAAGCAGACGCATTGAGCCGCCCCGGACATGTAGCAGACATCCAGCTCGACGGGATGAACCCTCTGCTCAAGGGTCTATTCCAACATGGGTACTCCGTGGACGCAGAGATTGCTACAGCACAGACCAAGAAGCTGTTACAGTGGGAGAAAGACTTAGCTGTAAGGAAGGGTTCAAGAAAGATTTGGGTACCGAATTACGCCCCACTACGGCAGATCCTATTGGAGGAGTTTCACGACGTACCTTACGCAGGACATTTCGGGAGCAACAAGACGTTAGCAGGGATAGCGAAGTATTACTACTGGCCCGGGATGGCAGCAGACGTGCTGCAGTTCGTCACCTCATGCGACACGTGCCAGCGTATGAAGAGCATCAAGCAGAAAAAAGAAGGGTTACTACAGCCTCTACCCGTACCGGAGCAGCCATGGCAGGTCGTTAGCCTCGACTTTATCACAGGACTTCCTTCGACCTCACGGGGGCACGATTCCATCCTCGTAGT